GGATTTTGGTGTTTAGCATTCAGGTTCTATATAATACTATGGTAGCTCTGAAGTTGCATAAATGCAATTTAAATGGTCATTTTTATCATTTTTACTCAGTTTACCTGCATCTGTGTGAAATTATTTTACTCTGCATTGTACTGCTTGTTAAATAATAACTGATATATATAATAATGGTTTTGCATTCCAGGTGAAAGCAGTATTCTGAGCTCATGTAAGTTGTAGCACGGAGTACATGCTGCTCTTTACATTAGGTGGTCCTTTGGTCCTGAGATATTTGTGAGGGTAAGAGCACATCCTGCTAAAAACCACAGAGGCTGTTGCATTGATGCATCTAAACAGAAAAATGGTAAGAGGCTCTGTGTTGTCAGCATCTGAGCCCTGCCAAAGGATCATTGTACAGTCCCAATCAAAAGTTTAAGACCACTTGAAAAATGGCAAAAAATCATTTTTTGCATCGTTGGATCTTAATGAGGTTCCAAGTAGAGCTTCAACTTGAAACAAGAAAATATGGGAGTGGGACAAAACATTTTTTAAACATGCAATTTACTGAAAACAATGCATAATGCAACAGTTTAAGACCACATCCCAAAAACTCAGTAAAACTCCTGAACCATAAGTGGTCTTCAGTCATGTGATCATTTCATGAAAAGATTAGAAGGATAAAAAATGTTGGTGGCCTCCACCTTTACAACCATTCTGGAGGTTGTCTTATCATTGCCTCTCTAGGGCACCTGTTGTTAATTTCATTAATACCGAAGTGCCTGAAATTTATCAACAACATGCTCTGCTACCTCACTGTGTGGATCAGTATCCCGAAAGTTAACCTGATCCTATAGTCTGATAAAAAAGTCTTTGTGCCACCTTGTCTCAAATTTTATGTTCCAGCTGATTCATATGACTGGCTATTGTGTTTTAGATTCTACTATACTATGTTGTAAATCACCACGGCAGACCCGATGGCATGAACATGCTTTGCAGCATACTTTATTAGCACACACAAGGTTGCAGTAACAGTACTCTCAACGGCTGCAGCTCTCCCACTGCCAGTCGTACATATCACCAACAACAACAACAAACATGGGACCCAGTACAATATTTAAGTCAGCGGGGCATGATTGCAGATGCAGTGCCAGTGCATCCGCCTTCCCTGCACGGCACCGCATGGAACGCCCCGCCACATATGTGTTAAAAAGACCATCTGGAGATAGTGTTGCTAGTTGGATCATGGTCTTTGAGTCTCTGTGGTTATGGATTTGACTGGGTGTACTGTATCTTTAATTATTACTGTTTTGACCAATAAGTGCTCAGTACATTACATTTCAATGCAGTAACCTTAGTAAGTGGCTTCAGCCACAATCACAATGACACTTCTGACAAAAAATTATTCACTGTCTACATGCCTCACTTCCACTAATTAGAGTTGCTGAATTAAACTTCTACAAACTGTGTTGCTGGGGGATTTTGGTGATTGTTTTATTTATTTTTTCTCTTCTCCCTTTCTATTTTTTAATTATCTGATAAAAAAAAAAGTAACCTGCTGTGTGGTACACTAGTTTAGATGAAATACATTCTATTTTTATTCCCCTGTTGTTTAGCTATCTGTGCATTTTACCCCAACAGTTTTGTGAAGGATCTGGACCCCACACAGCATTCAGGTGACTGTTTTTTTTTTTATTTAGTGCACAGAAATGTTCCTTTGTGGTTTGGCACCAATATCTTTTTCTGGCAGTCAGCTTTGCAGCTGACTAAACACTCGACATACCTTCATCTCAGGTCGCCAGCTTCACTAAAAGGAAGTAGACCTTGCTAACATAGTCATCTCCACCTGCCCCATCAGCGTACTTGGCACAGCCACTGAGCCCACTGCAACACCTCTGCACTGCAGCGGAGCTAGAGACCACACCTCTGCCACAAGTTTATCGATTACGAACCAAGCTTGTAACAGAGCACCACTCCGTTTTGCAAATATGGTCACTGGCTTACAAAAAAACATCTCACCCCCCTCCTCCCCCGGCACTTCTAGAACTGCTATATGTTTGAGTGTCTGTGAAGGTTCTCAGTGATCCAGGTCGTCGTAGTCTATGGAGCTTCGTAAGAAACGCGTATGGACTTGGTTTGAAAGAGGAGTGAAAGAAGCCATCAATGTCCACTGTGAACGACCATCTTTGAACAGAGGTAGTGGTTTACGACACCAACCGTCTGCCATCTATAATCCAGTTTTGAGATCCCTTCCTAGACGCCTTAACACCCACTCACATCCTGAGCCTTTTGACCTCAAGAAATCACATGATAG